AACATTGATAACCTTACCACTCATTCATATATTGCAAAAACACAAAGTAGATACTTGAAAAACTGTAAAGAAAATCTAAACCAAAACAAATGCCTAATTTACTGAAAATTATCAGTATGTTGTTCAAGATGAGGTTCAAAGTTATCACTGCAGTATAAGTCAATGTTCACTTTTTACAATCGTACTATATTTTTTAGAGAAAAAAGTTCTCAAACACAAATCTTTTTGTTACCTTTCAGAAAGTGTTGATCATGACACAGGATTTATTTAAGACTCAGGAAGATAAAACTAGAGATATAACTAGATATATCAAAGAAAATTTACCTGATGTATCAAGTATGAAATACTTTTCGGATGGTTGTGCAGCACAATTTAAAAATTTTAAAACTTTATCAATTTTTGTGATCACAGTAAAAACTTTAATTTAAACACTGAGTGGGTATTTTTTGCTGCCAGTCATGGTAAATTCCCCTGTGATAATATTGGTGGGACTGTTAAAAGAGTAGTATGTCAAGAAAGTCTAAAACAAATAAGTACTGGGCAAATTTTAGATGTTAATTTAATGTACTCCTTTTGTAAAGCCAAGATTAATGGAATTTGTTTTTAGTTATTTTTTAAAGATAAAATCAACCAAACACGAGCACATATTATTTGATATTATTCCAAAAAGAAACATAATAAAAAGATTTCATTAAACATTAAAAAAAAAGGATTGTATTGCATGTTTTTATGACGGATTTTGGTGGGCAGGGATTGCTGAAGATGTAAGTGAGCTTGAAAAGTCAGATTCATGCATCCACATGGAACAGGTAAAAACTACTTTTTGGCCAATGAGAAATGGCGAGTGTTGGGTGCTCAATTCTGAAGTTATATGCCTAATTTCTACACCCACAACAATATCAGGTCATACGTACAATATATCTGATTTAGATTTGGAGAATATAAACAGTTGATTACAAAAAAAAATTAAATACATTTAAATTAATTTTGCTGTAATTTTATTTACCTATTTGTCTTTCTTTTTTTCAAATCCTTGGATGGAAGGCTGAGATAGAAGGGGTTTAAATAAACCCCACTGTCCACCTCATTATGTCAATAACTAATTAGTATTAATCTACCATAAAAATATTGATTGTTAAAATGTTTTATTATTGTTAAAATGTTAAAAACATTTCAATATTTTTGGTTTTAAAACTTATGATTTTTAAAATCATAAAAAGATCTTAGTTTTGAGTGCTTACTTTGAAATAAGAGGTAAATAATGAAAAAAAAAATTGTTTCTCAAACTAAAAAAAAAAATTATGCTTTTAAATTGAATTTTAATAATTATTTATCATTATATTATTTAATGCATTGAAAAAAAGTAAAAAAAAAAAAGATAAAATTCAGGGAGATTGGGGAGGGGGGCAGGGTTAATCAGAGGCTTCCTGGCCCTCTTTTGGCTTATGACTATAAACATCCTAAACTTGTCAATAAATTATTTGATGTTTTATTCAAATAAATGTTTTAAAAATTACTATTTGATGTTTTATTCAAATATTTGATGTTTTATTCAATGAATATATAAATATTTGATGTTTTATTCAAAAATCACTATTTGATGTTTTATTCAAATAAATGTTTTAAAAAACATTTCAATTGCTTTCGTTACAAAATTTAAATTTTTCTAAAAAGACACAATTTTTAAACACTAATTTTGATCAAGTATTTGAGAGACAATTGATGAAACTAATTTTTTTTAGTAGACCTAAGATAAAATAACAATATACAATTAAACTTTTTATTCCGAATTTTGGGCCACAGTCTTCATTTTACTTCCAAAAATCATGAATTTACAAGTCAATAATTTTGAACAAAATTGGGTAAACAAGGCATTTCCCGAGATAATTGAGCTTTTTTAAAATACAAAATAAAAAACTTAAGAAGTTTCATAGATATTACATACATAACTTAACAGCTTTTTTAAAAATCCCTTGATTTGTTATAGTGTATATCTTTACATATATTATACACTATAACAAATCAAGGGATTTTTAAAAAAGCTAAAAATTTCCAAAAAAATTAAAACACCGGAAGGAATTTGTTGATTATGTGTCATAATTGAGATGCTTATGTTTTTAGTGGGCTCAAGCAATTAGTCCTAATAAGCTCTGAATGATCTGAAAAAAATTATTGGTGAAACTTAATAAGGAAAAAATTTAATAAGGCAGTCTGAGGTACTCCTGTGAAGACAAAAAAAAAAAAAAAAGGAAATGTTTGTAGCAGAAAAAAACTTTTTTTTAACAATTTAAGAAAATTTTATTTTAACAATTAAAAGATTTTTTAGCTATATTTATTTTTTTGCTATAGATATATATTGCCAGATTGAAAAAATTAATAATTAGGGGCGGGTTTAAACCCTCACAAAACAGCACTGATGACAGCACATTAAACTACTGATCTATCAAATTTATGTATGTAATTAAAATACCGATTGCAATTAATTATCACTTTTTAGGCGATTCTCTAAATAAGCGCAGCTTTATTTCACAGGAATAAAGTTGCACTTATATATAAGCAATATATATAAACACATATTTTATATGCAAGTTTTAAAAAATTTTATACAGAATCGCGTGTATTTTTAAAAAACTTTTCTAATAATTACAAGTTTTTATCTTCAAAAACTATATCTTCAAGTGAAAAATTTGAAACTTCGATTTTAGATTTGCCCCTCTCTTATGATAACTTCTGATTGCTAAAATTACATCATCTTCTTATCACAGTTGTTTAGATATTAGAAAAAAGTGGAAAGTTTTTGTTTAAAATGTTTTGATCTAGTTAGACCATTAAATATAATTGATGTAATTTTTTGTAAATTGTTGAAGCCAAAATTTTTTGCGTAAGTGATGTCACTGGCAAAACTAATTAGAAATAAGATTTTGTTGAATTTTTTTAGGAAAATTCTTTTTATTAAAAATATATAGAATATATTTTTATTTCATATATTCTAATAAAAACTAAATATAGTAATTACTATGTTATTTCTTAAAAACTATTTATTTATTACTATTGTAATGAATACAAATTCTTACCCGTGAAATGATATATCTGTCACAGTTTTATATCTTTTTCAAACGTATTGAAATTTTTTTTTTTGCCGATATTATTATTGTTTTGCTATAAATATTTATGCAAAGTTGAAAAAATTTCAAAAATTATTATACTAAGGAGAGGTCTCTAACTCCCTGAAACAATACTGATGACAACACACTAAACCACTGAGCTATCAACGAGATGCATTTAGGAGAAAAACAAACTAGTTTTAAATCTCTTATAAGCTCAATGTATGCGGAATAGTGCACATGTTAATTTTTTTTGGTCTTAAAGCAATTTTTTAGAATGAATTATTTTACTAAAAAATATTGAAGTAAAAAAGGAATAATTATAGAAATGATCGGTGTGGAATAGACAAGTATAGAAATAGTAAATTTGGTAAAAACCCTCATTTAATGGGTCCAGAAATCTAGGATATATACATAAGAAAAAAGTATAGGTCGGTGTGGATTAGACTTGCAAAGACCCATATTTTTACCGGTCCTTTTTTACAATCATTCCTTATGCTGTTAAATTTAACTTATTTATTTTTATATAACATAGTTATCATTTTTTTAAATTTTTATATTATTTCGCTTCATTTGAGATTTGAGACATATTGATGATATCTTTTTGAAGAACTTTTTTACCCAATATATACCCAGGTCACTGATTCCCTGATAGTGTAACACTGACATATTAATCATGGCGAAGTTATTTTATTTTAAAGCGTGCTTATTACGTGGTTACAAACTGAGTTTGTTTAATTTGTTTACAAAATGAGTTTGTTTTGAAGCATTACATGCATTAAAACAAATTCATTTTATTTAAACTTAACTTATTGAATTACAATATTGTGTGGTGCAAAGGTTAATCAAATCCTTGGAGTCCTTTTTTCGTTTTTGTTTTTTTAATATATTTTATTAATTAACTATTTGTTGGTAATACATTAATAATAATAAATATTAATATAATAATAGCAATGATAATAATAGCAATAACAATAATAATAATAATCATAATAATAGTAATAATAACAATAATAATAGTAATGATAATATATATATATATATATATATATATATATATATATATATATATATATATATATATATATATATATATTAGGGTGCACCCAACATTCAAACCCATACATTCAAAAATTGATCCGTCCCTATTCTTAAAACTTTCTACCTCAAGTCTGAAACTTGCAACGAGACCCTAAACAGAAGAAAAAGACCCTAAACAGAAGAAAAGTTTTTCAAATGTTTATCATGTTGGGTCTCAAAAGAAGCGAATATTTATACAAATTTTAAAAATAGTAAAAGTTTACACAAGAATTATTATTCTAAGTTTTATTGCATAAAAATTGTTTTTTAACAAAAAATTAAAAAACTTTTTATGGTCAAAATTTTTTAAAAAAATAAACAAGAATTTTATTTAAGCTCTAAATAAATAAATTAAATAAAAACAGATAATTTATGTATAGTTTTTATTAAAAACTTATCTTTTACTATTCATTTTTAAAATAAATTAATTTAATTTACAGAATTAAAATTTAGATAAAAAAACAACATTTTTTTGCAAATAAAAAAAAGCTTTTACTTTTATTGCAAAGTGCTTTAAAAAGGTCCTGGCTAAAATAAAGAAAACTTCATTTAAAGCAAGTGAAAATTTTTCAATTAAAAGAAAATAGTTATTGTGAAAACTGTTAACGTTGTTTTTTTTGTGAAAACTGTTAACAGATATTAAAACTCTTTTTTTCCATATTTAAAAAAAAAAAAATTATATAGTGTAAAATAAATATTCAATAACTTAAAACAAAAGTGGTGAATGCATGTTTAAATAAGGAAAATTTGATGAACTCGACATACATTCTGCCAATTTTATGCTAAATATTTGTTGATTTGTCAAATTTTATTTAGGGACTCAGCTTAAAGTTTATGTTTGGAATGTGATTAAGCAGATGTTTATGGAATTGCATTCAGTTGATTACAAAACAAATACAAAGTAATTTTTTATAATAGTAATTATTATATTTGTTGATACTAAAAATAGTAATGGATTTTTATAATTGCTTGTAGTTAGTTGTGTTGTTATTGATCAATATAGTAATTGTATATGAGAGTAATATTTATTTGTTTGTTGACAATTGATTATATATTCTAATTTTTAATTATAAAAAAAAATTAAATTTTTTTTTAAATTTATGATTGAGTAGGAGAAAATGAAATCTTTTTTTAAATTTCTTTAAAGTGAGAATGAAGTTATTGTAAGTGTATCAACTGCAGATTTTAATGGGGATGGTTGTTTAGATGTTCTTTTATGTTTATCAACTTCTCAACTTAAAAAGGATGGGTTTGTCAATGTTACTATTTATTATGGTGATACTGTATCATTAGTTAGCGGTAATTTTTTTTAATTTATTATAATTTTAAAATTAATTTTAAAAAAATATTATCTTCTCTAAAACTAGTAGATTGTAAGTCGTAGTGTAATTCCTCTTTTTCTTTTTTAAAGTGCTTTAACTGTAAACAATAAGGAGTAATTGATTCAATTTTGATTGCAAGTTAGAGATAGTGTTGCTCACTGTGAGTTATTTGAATCTTAGTAAATCAGTTTTAATTGAGTTCAAGGTTGGTCCTGTGTAATTAGATGTGGAGTTCATAAATACAGCCAATAGTCAAATAAAAATTGTTACTTTTGATTGAACACCAGGTTTGTTCAATCTCTTTTAATATACTGATGATTTTCAATTTCCATGTTTGCTTTTCTTCCAAATTATTAGCAACATAGCTCTAATGTTGCGTCTGATAAAATTTTGTTATTGTTTTTAATTGAATAATAACCTATTACAATAAAATAGTCTCCTCCACAGTTTTAGCCCTATTGTCTTTGGGGAGGTGAATTATATAAAATATCTTATGATCACAACTAGTAATTGATTTGTTTTTTAGGAAGTAATTTATTTGTTTTTTACTTTTGTAGGAAGCCCAACACTAGATACCAGTGGATTATCTCCCAATTGTTAATTGTTTTATCTAATTACACTAAGTTTATTATCACATTTTTAAAGATAAATAGAAAGGGTTATTATTTTTACATCTGAAGTTTATAAATAAAACATGTTTATAAGTATGTGAGATTACATAATTTATATATTAAGTGTAATTTAGATAATTACATATTTTTCTCTCATATGTGAGATCACATGGTATGAGAGATAAGTATTAATTTTTTTCTAGGTGTATATCTCCATAATTTAGACATACTTTACATTCTTCCCTTTAGTTTGTTTCAGTAATTTTTTTATAACATTGCCAATATTAAATCTTGCTTTTTTACATTAAAAACAGCTATTGTTTGATAATTATTGAGTTATTTTCTTATCAGAAGCACCACTTTACTCTTAGCTTCACTCTATCATCTTAGCACCACTTTACTCTATCATCTTTACTTTATCATCTTTCTCTTTGTTCTTTATTGTTCTTCTTCTTCTCAGAACTGCACACTTTTAGATAAAATTTCTGATCAAATTGACAACTTGCCCTTTCTCTTTACTCCTCTGCCAATATTGTTGTTATTAATGACTTGAATGTTTATCACACTGAATAGATTGGCTCTAACACCACTGATCCTGCTGGCACTAAAATCCATCATGCATTTCTTAATCTCATACTCAAATTGTTAACTTAGTGGCTCATTTTCCAGACAACCCTAATCACTTACCCCTTGATTTATTAGTTGTCTCTGGCTCTACCTTGTGGTCAGTTTCTTCTTGTTCATCCTTTAGGATGAAAGACTTATAACTTCTCTATAAGTCTTTCATTTCATCTCACTCTTTTTCTTTGGACTCATTATCATTGCACGACTTACTACTACCCTAAAACTAACTTATATCTTTTATAAATGGGCCTCCTATGCAACCTGGATCCAGGTAAGTATATAAACTTTTGTTCCTTCTTGTTGGTTCCAAGGTAAGCCTCATCCTACTCCATGGTTTTCACCTTCTTGTGCAGCTGCTATATCTATTTGTAATCATTTTTTATACTTTTCAAAGGAACAATTCTTTTCAGAACAAACGCCTATTTATTATTGTAAAAAATCAATGTATAAAGGTGCTGTCTTATGCTATGCTACATTATTCCCAAAGTACTAAATCTTTTTTTATTTTTTATTTCTATTTTTTTATTCTGATTTGCTCCCAACAAGGCTTCAAGCAACCACTATTAAGTTGGGAGTTACTAGGAAAAAAAAGAGTAGAGTTATAAAGCAAGGTTTTGGTTGACAGAAGACTTCAAAAGTTGTAGGTTGTATGAGTCAGGAAAACATGAAGATGGGAGAGAGTTCAAAAGGGTTAACCCTTTAAAGAAAGTTAGACAAATAAAAGTTTTTAGGGCATGCAGGGACAGATAAAAGAATGAGACTTTACTAAATGATAAGTCAAGCAAGAAAGAGTTTTAGTTGATGGAACTAGAGTTTATAGCTCCTCTGAGCAGCCACTATGTTTGTAGGAAAGCTAATTTTGCAATGGATTTGATATACAGTTTCCAAGATTAGAAGTAGGAGTTAATCCTAGTAATTCACAAAAAGTTTTCTCTTTTTGATTGCTTAAACAGGCAGCCAATCTTAAATCTGATCTTGTTTCTGTAATAGATTGAAGCTTGCAATAGTTTGTGAATTTTAACTCCAACAAAACTCAGTTGTTTACTGCAATTAACTATTGCAATACTGTGGACATCCTATATTAATGAATGGCAACCATCTCAGTGAGTCCTCTTCTTTATGCCTTCTTGAATTATCATTCACTACTGACCTCTCATTGAAACCAATTGATTGCAAAGTTAGCATCTGTTAACAGATTATTTTTCTCGCTCAATTTTTTCTCCTGATTCTATTCTCTACCTCTACAAATCTCTTATTCCCCACCTGTATTGAGTACTGTTGTCATATTTGGGTTGGTTCTTTTAATTTCTCTTTTAGACAAGATCAAAAAATGCACTGTAAACGTAGTTGGATCTGCTCTATCTGTGTCTTGATAGAGCAGATCCAACTGTTGAGCTTGAGTCTCTCCCATTGTCGTAAATTGCGTTTCTTTCTCTTTTCTACAAATACTATCATGGTTGCTGCTCAAAGAAGCTATCATCTCTAGTTCCATCAATTAAAATTTATTCTCCCTTGACTCGTCATTCAGCAAAGTCTCATCCTTTTGCTGTATCTGTCCCTGAATACTCTAAATACTTTTATTTGTCTTGTTTTTTTTCTCTGCACTTCATTCCTTTAGAACTCTCTCCCATCTTCATGTTTTCCTGACTTATACAACCTACAACTTTTCAAGTGCTCTGTCAATTGTTTTCTTGCTCTATAGCTTTATTCTTTTTTTTCTTCCTAGTAACTCCTAACTTGATAGTGGTTGCCTTGTTGGAAGTGAATCAAAATAAAAAAAATAAAAGATTTTTTTTAAGTTAGCTAAATATTAATAATGATTAGTAATGTTTAACTTTATTTTTAAGGTCATTGGAGTGTACGCATGCTTGATCAACCATCAGTTATTGAGTATGTATTTAACATATTGCTTAATAAAAGATAAAGTCCTTTTTGTTATTTAGTATTTTTACTGTTGCTAAAAAATTCTTTTACTGTTGTTATGTACCCCTTTTAGTTTTTTTATTTTGTGTTTATATCAAAAACACTTCATACTACTATTAAAATTACTATCTTATTGTAAAATGCTGTAAAAATTCTCTTTTATTAAATTCATACTTTTGTAGTTAAAACCTTTTTTAAGCGTTAATGGCGACTTGCTTCCTGATTTATTTGGTACAAATTCAAAAGGAGTGAGGTCTTATTGGATATCTGTTCCTGCAGACACAATGTAAAATGATTAAAAATTATTGTATTGTTAGCAGTTTTGTTTCATCAATAAATAATAAGTAATATGTTTAGTAAAAAATTAAAAATATTTATTAGCAATGTTTTTATTAGGTCATCAGGGTATTTCACAGAAGATTCTCAGTTTTATACTGATATATCTACAACTCTTGTTATTCCACAATCAAATGCTTTTGTTGATGTAACTGGTGATCAACATGCTGGTAAAATGCTTACAATTTAAAAAATAGTTTGATCAATTGTAAATTGTTTTAAGTTCATTGTGTATTTTGTAGTACACTTTTGTTTTCAATTTTTTTTTTTACACTTTCTTAATCAAATAATCATAACTAGTTTATTAAAACTATTCTTATAATTAGTTTGAAATAAACAACAAATTAATTAAGATTTTAAGCAACAACAGGTATGAGTATCTTTAAGCAAAAAACCTTAGTGCGCAAACTCTATTTACATTTAAATTGCTCAATTTGTGTTAGGTTGTATAGAAATATTTATATGTATATTAAAATAAAATAAAATTTATAAATACTTTATTACTACTTTTACAGTGTATTTTTTTTTATTAAATCAAGAAGAAAGAAAATCAATAAGAAAGAAATCAGAATGCACTTTTTTTTACATACATCAGAATGCACTTTTTTTGCGTATTAATTATTATACTCACATCATGTTCATTACGCAACTCATCACACTCATTTTTTTAAGTACATTACTCAGTACGCAACTTATCATACCTCTTTGTTAAGTAGAAACTCAACACACAACTATAAAAAATAATTATCTTTCAATTTATAATAAACAAATAATATAATTTTGATTTAATATTTAGGTTAATAATTAAAATAAACCATTTGAGTTTTAGCTTCAATTTATATATACAATATAATTTAAGCTAATTTTTTTTAATCATATTGTTTGAATATTTAATATGAAGTTTTATTTTAGATTTTTTGCTTGGATATATCTAAAAGATACACCAAAAGGTTTAGACTCGACTATAAATAGTTGTAAAAAAAAAAAAGTAAAGAAATATAATGAAGAAGATAAAGAAAATCTGCCTGTAAATTAATGTAGATGAGTTGCGTATTGAGTATTCTACTTAACAAAAATAGGTATGATAAGTTGCGTACTGAGAATTGTACTCAAAAAAATGCATGTGATGAGTTGCGTAATAAGTATGATGTGAGTATAATACTCAATATGCAATACCCATAAAAAAGTGCGTTCTGACCTGCATATATTTTTATATATATATGCAGTGCTCAAAGTTAGGCGGGATGCGACGGGATGCTATCCCGTCACCTTTTTATAAAGTATAAGCCATCCCACCACCTTTTTATAAATCTCAATATATAACAATGAATAGATGGAATGGTATTTTTAATTTACTGAATACCATCCCTTTTTTTTTTCCTTATAGTACTGTATATATATATATATATATATATATATATATATATATATATATATATATATATATATATATATATATATATATATATATATATATATATATATATATATATATATATATATATATATATATATATATATATATATATATATATATATATATATATATATATATATATATATACACACCTATGGTAAAGGGCTTAGATACTCAGTTTGTGGTAAAAAACAGCTCTTAGCTTGTTTGTGGCATTAAAGTTAACAAAATTAAGGATACATTATGTCAAAACGCATTAACAATTAAAAGACTAGAATGTTTTTAAAAACATTCTAAATGTTTTTAATATTTAGAATGTTTTTAAACAGAATGCTGCTGCATTGACTGACAAATAGCCTGACTTGCAATGGAGTGCTGCTACATTGACTGAAAAATAGCCTGACTCGCAACGGAGTGTTGCTACATCGACTGAGGGTTTGGTTTGGACAGGCAGTCTATCAAATAACTTTAAAAAATAATTTTTTTTCGGTCTTTAAAATAAAAAAAACTTAAGGTTGACATTTTATGGTAAAAACTTAAAGGGGACCAAGCAAGATTATATATATATATATATATATATATATATATATATATATATATATATATATATATATATATATATATATATATATATATATATATATATATATATATATATATATATATATATGTATATATAGTATGGGCCAAAAAAAACCTGCAAGAAATTTTATGTGGTTTTTTTACAAAATTTCTATGTAAAATATACAAAAAACAAATTTAATGAGTAATTAATTCTTTGATTGCATCTAAAGCTAAAAGGTGACTTATCTGATCAAACAACTTGTCTCCATTGAGTAATAGTCCAGTCTTTATGCTCACTGTACCATTGAAGCCTACGTTCAATGTTGATATTTGATAGAAGAAGTTTTCTGATAGCCTAATGAGAATCTAAATTTTTGCACTTATGTAAGCAACAAATTATGGTTTTTCCAGAAATATTGGTAATACCAGTTTCTGCTTTTATCCATCTGTAGAAATACGGCAATTTTAAAAGGCAGCTTGGACAATGCATCTTCTCTTTAAGTAATTTATCTCTTTCTTCCTGATCCATATTGGCGGACTGTTTCTCCTGTCTCCTTATAATTATATATAATTATTAATATAAGAATTAATAAGAACAAAGATTTTTATTTTATTTGTATTTTCGCACAAACAGAATTCTCAGATGTCGCACTCAATTTCTCAAATTATTTGAAACCATATGATCATAAAATTATAAAAAGATTTAAATGTTTATTTACATTAATTACACACTAAATTGTAAAGTTACAAGGACAAAATATTACAATTTCTACATCATCAAAAAATGTTCAAATGAAAAACTCGTTTGTTTATAAAAAAAATATATCATCAATTAACTCAGATGTAAATCGGCTACGATGGTCTGGTATCATGTGCTTTAAGACTGAAAGCAGACGCTCAACTCTGACTTGGGATATGGGTAGCGACAAAGCGACACGGTAGACATCCTGTACAACTTCAAGGAACTTCTCAATTGATTTTTATGGGTTAAGTTTTAAAAACTCTTCTAAGTTGGAAGAGTTGTTTTTAAACATTGAACGGATTTCCAGAATTGTTTTTTGAGCTTGTCAAAACTCCTTTTCGATTACATCTAGTTGAACCTGCATTTGTTCTTCTGAAGAAATTTCTTGAATCTCCTGTTCACACAACATAAATAAATTTGGTCGACACTTTGCGACTGGTGAAGCATTCTCCTCATTTTCTCAACTAGAGTATGGCACATAAACTGCAAAAGAGTATGACACATAAACTGCTTTTTTGGTTTCATTGAGTTCATTATTCTTATTTTCATTTACAAGTTGAATCAGTTTGTAATGTCTTTTCCAAAGTCCATTAGCTGCAGTTATCTATAGAAATATTTATACTTTTTGGAATATGTATTTTTTAAGATTAAATAAGTAAACATATATAAATAAAATTTTATTAAAAAAACAACCTTATCTTCAGTCGCTGTTAGGCATACAGCCATGCCTAATATCAACGTAAACTGCTGCAAGAAACAACAAATTTGTGCGTAGCGCGCTTTCTCTATTATACATTCCTTATAGAAAATCTTTGACTAAGTCACTGTCCTTCCTGTTAAGTTCACACTTTATTGAACTCCAATCAAAATGGAATTTGTCTGCAGTGATATTTTCACATTGAAGACGAATAGTAAGATCGTGTGCCATATGCAACACATCTCTCGATTCATCTCTTACATACCCCAAAAACATGGTCGCACATAAAATTCTTTAGGAGCTTCTTTTTGCATATTTAGATTTTGAATTACTGGTTGAATCTAGAAGAACAGAAAAATTCATTAAATATATGTAAAAAGTTATTAACTACTTAAATAAATAGGATTATTAAAGAAAAATTACATAAACTAACATTTAAAAATTATTAAGTAGCATAAATGTCTTTACCATTGAAATAATTAGATTTATATTATACCGGTTAGATAACTGGTTTATACACTTAAAGCTTACCTTAATTAGCCTCTCAATCATATTGAACTGGCTAGACCAACGGGTAGCCTGATCTAAAATTGGAATGAGATTTGGAGACTGGTCCCTGAAGAAGTCAATCCTTTTCAAATTTTTTGCAGTTTTGACAACATCTCTGACATGGCTAATTAGATTTTTTATTGTGGGCCTTTTCAATGCATCATTTATGGCTAGCTATAAACTGTGGACAGCACATCTTTGAAAATATATAACACTCATGCTACTGACAACTCCGCTTGCTTAGACTGCTGCCACATTGTCCTCTTTAATAACTATCTTCGTCAAACTCATCAGTTTCTACTGAAAAATTGTCTTCGTCATCTAAGATTTTCTCAATGACGCTGATGCCAAAGTCGCGCACCAACTTTATATTCACCTAAAGATATTAAGTATGATTTCAATAGTTAATTTTTTTTATTAACAAAATATATAGTGAATTTCAAAATGTTATTCACTGCTGCGTTGTCAACACTCAGGCCTAAAATATTAGTTTTATTGATTCCAAACTTATCTAAACACTTCTCAATAATTTTTTTTGTGTATTCCGTCGTTTGTTTTCTCTTTGTATCAATGGTGCCAAGATTGATTACAGCAATTTCATCATTGTTCGAGTTTCATCATTGTTCGAGTTTCATCATTATTCGAGTTTCATCATTGTTCGAGTTTCATCATTGTTCGAGTTTCATCATTGTTCGAGTTTCATCATTGTTCGAGTTTCATCATTGTTCGAGTTTCATCATTGTTCGAGTTTCATCATTGTTCGAGTTTCATCATTGTTCGAGTTTCATCATTGTTCGAGTTTCATCATTGTTCGAGTTTCATCATTATTCGAGTTTCATCATTGTTCGAGTTTCATCATTGTTCGAGTTTCATCATTGTTCGAGTTTCATCATTGTTCGAGTTTTGGGCATTTATACCGAGGTAGTGACGCATATGCCTTGATGTAGAATTGACTTTTAAATAAGTTAGCATTTTCAATCATTTGTTTTTGATTTGTTTGCGATGCTTTTTGGCAAGATCGATAATTTTAAGTATCATATTATCTCTATTCATTTTAAATCTAAAATGTGATAAAACTTTTCCGCAAAGCTTTTGAATAGGTTCCCGATCAAATGCCTATAGATATTGTTTTTAGAATGATAAATGTTTATTTAAAAGTGCTAAAAAAACATATAATTGTTTAGATTTTTTTTTTAATTAAAACATAATTACTAACGAAAAAATATATAGAACCTGGAATGAAAGACCAAAACTAGCTGATTTAAGGCTTCTAAAAACTCATCTTTTGCTATATGTAAATTATTTTGTTGTGGTACAAAACACTTTAATATGGATTGCTGTGAAGTGCTGCCTTTGATGGGTGTATATTTTTGCTTCTTATTCTTTTCTTCTATTTTTTTTCTTCTAATTTTTTTTTTTTCTAACATAATGAGGTGCTTCGCATGTTTTCTAGATAAAAGGAATTGCTGCACAACATAGTTTTTATTTATTTTATAAGGTATTTTTATAAGCTTTTTTTGGCTTCTTTCTGACCTAGATGGTATGCCAATTGTCTAGATCATTAGCTTGATTTTATAGTGCAAACTCACATAAAAATTTGATTTTTTATTGCATACAATTAATTTGTTAGTAAAATTTGATAGCTTTTCGTATCTAAACCATATTGCTTTCATTGCAATTTTTCATTAGGTGTTATTAAAATAAAAATTTTGATTTTCTTAGCAAAGTAGACTGAAAACTGTACATAGTTATACTCACACCATTTTGGTTGAAATTAAAAGAAATAAAAAGATTTTTTTTTCTAATAGTATTTACAAGCTTCATTTATTTATAAGTATAGTTTCCTACTATAGTTTACAGTTTTAAACAGTGCTTAAACAAAGCAAAAAGTATAATGACAATTTTTTAAAAGAACTTGACTTTGGTAAAATATTCTTCTACTGCTCATAACCTAGTTAATCATTTTTAATCAACTTTCTTTCTATGATCAATCTAAAAAATTAAAGATAACAAAAAAAATTCTATTCCAAAAAAGTCTATTAGATCACAATTGCGGTTAAATGCTTTTACTACATATTTTCTTAATAAACGATGTCAAAATAAAAAAATTTAATATTCTAAAAGATGAAAGTTATCTCTTAATGTTAAATTGCTGAACGCGTAGTCATATGGACTTTTCGCACATGAATTGCGAGCTTGGTAATGTGTATTAACAAGGCGTAACATTCAAACCGATACTCAATCTGAGTATTGGTTATATATATATATATATATATATATATATATATATATATATATATATATATATATATATATATATATATATATATATATTTATATATATATATATATATCTACTGTAGCATATATGGCGTTTTCAGAAGAAGAAAAAAGAAAAAAAACATTGAGTAATAAAAAAGAACATTGCTTCCCCATGCCAAACATAATGTAGCGGCACTCCTTTATTTTATAGCGTATATATATACATGTGTATGTATATGTATATATATATATATATATATATATATATATATATATATATATATATATATATATATATATATATATATATATATATATACAGGTATATATATATGTGTATGTATATATATATATACATATATATATATATATATATATATATATATATATATATATATATATATATATATATATATATATATATACAGGTATATATATATATGTGTATGTATATATATATATATATATATATATATATATATATATATATATATATATATGCATAAAAAAGTATATATCATAGTTCCATCAAATGTTTGTTAATGCATATACTCTAGTGTGTTATATACTAATAAATAATAGAGCAATATTTATTTATATAAAATGAATAAAAATAACTTTTGATGGAACTCTGAATTTCAAGCCTTTTGGCAATCATCAGCTGTTATGTATCCACAATGGACATCATCAGTCGTTGTGGATACACAATGGCTGATGATTGCCGAAAGGCATGAAAGTCGGAGTTCCATCAAATGTTTGTTACTCATTTTATATAAATAATTAATATATATATATATATTTTTTATATTATATGTATGTATATGTATATATATATATATATATATATATATATATATATATATATATATATATATATATATGTGTGTGTGTGTGTGTGTATAAGTTAGATATGTGTACATGTCTACACCGATTCACACATATCTAACTTGACCTTTTACTGTCAAAATCTTCTTGCATATACTTATATCTATTTCTCCTTTATTAGGAATAAAAATAATAATAGTAATTATATGTGTGTATATGTATATATGTATAAAATATTTTATTTGTGAAATTTTTCAAAATTTTATTATTTTATAGACTTGGTTGTTAAATCATATAACAATGAGACTAAATCCATAATGGTTGAAATTTGGACCCAAGATAGCGTTAGTTTTTTTTCATTTTAGGGTTTTCTGTTTATTCATTGGTATTTAATGATAGATAGTTCCACATCAAATTATCCAAAATTTAGGAAAATTTTGAACCATAGGTCTAATATTTTTTTCACACTTCTTTGGCTTTTGCATATTACAAAGAAAAGTTCACACAAAAAGTTTTGGCCCAAAATGTTAAACGGTTTCCAACATATTTCAATTTTAATATTGACTTGGTTTCTGACCTGGTTTTTATAACATTAAAAGAAAAACATTTTCTTCAATAAAATAAGAAAAAACAAAGCCAAAAGTATGAAAATAAACATAATGCTTTTTTGATACTGAATTTAATAAATGTACATTAAATGTTGAAATAGGAAGTGAACATTAACACTTAAAGGTTAATAAAACAACTAGTTTATTTGACTCAACTTTGGGGCCCAATATCTTAAAACATCCTTATTCAAACTTTTGTTATTGTTGTTGTTGCTGTTAATATATTTAGTTGATTATTGTTTTACATGTCACCAAAAATCAAACTGGAAAAACAACAGATAAACAACATATAGAGCTATAAATTCAAAGATATATCACTTTTTCAATAAATTGTTACAAAAACATTTGCTTATAGAATTCTGAATTCGGTTTATAGAAGAAAAAAAAAATTATGTTAAATAAATTATGGAAGTCTTGAATAATTGCAAATGAAAATTAATGTTTTTAACTACTAAAAAACTTGTTATTATATAAAAACTGACCAAATGTACCAAGCTGATAAATGATAATTCTGATAAGTATTTGTTCATTAAACTTTAGCAATTATATAGTTCATAAAAAGTTCAGTTATAGAACCACATTATTTTATTATTTTATTATTTTATTATCATATTTATTTGTTCATTAAACTTTAGCAATTATATAGTTCATAAAAAGTTCAGTTATAGAACCACATTATTTTATTATTTTATTATTTTATTATCATATTTATTTGTTCATTAAACTTTAGCAATTATATAGTTCATAAAAAGTTCAGTTATAGAACCACATTATTTTATTATTTTATTATTTTATTATCATATTTATTTGTTCATTAAACTTTAGCAATTATATAGTTCATAAAAAGTTCAGTTATAGAACCACATTATTTGGTAAAATTGTATTGGAAGTATAAAAAATTAACAGTTTGATATATATGAATAAAATTAATAATATCTACCAGAGCAAAACAACAGTCTAAAGAAAGAATCTAAAAAGGTTTGAACAGTTTCTACATTAAAAACTTTTTTTTTTCCAGAAAAAATTAAGTAAAGACAAATTTATTTGTTTATGAGATACTTTCTTAATATGATTTGTACCAAGTTAATTATCTTATTTAGATGTTTTCTATTGGCTTAATGATATCTGAATTATGCAAAGGTAATACAATGTTATAGGAATTTTAAGCAATGAAGAAAACATAATCATATCCTTTACGCTGTCACGTTGAATTATCAAACTTACAAAAGTGTGGATTGAATCATTATTAGAAAATTTTGTTGTATTTACTCAAATGAATAATGTTAAACTGTGCATGGAAAAAAAGAATATATTAGCATTAGAAAGAATATCAATAAACAAAAAAAACTACAGTTGTATAATTTTACAAAAAGAAAACAATCCTGAAATACAAATAAGGTATCCAAAATTTACTTCATTTAAACCAAATTAGTGTATTTTGCTAGGTGCAAGTGTTACATTCTATTTATAGATGAAGCGTATAAACATCTACTTTCTTTATAAATATTTAATTTCTTATTTTTGCCATTGTTATTCCTTATTTTATTAAGGAAGTTTTTTTAAAAAAAAGTCATAAAAACCGCTTCATTTTAGGAAACCATGTCAATTTTAAAACTGTCATATCTCCTTAACTGCTCAACATTTTCAGCTGAAATTTTGCCTACAATGTTTTTTTATAGGAGCCATATTTCTAAAAAGGAATAAAAAGAAAGACACGATTCAATGGACTGGGTGATTTGATGTGGAATTACACTCTGATATTATGCGATTAAACATTATCAGTGTACAATATAGTGTGTATTTGTCAGTTATGATCAGTAAATAACTTTTGATAAAGAATTCAGACTTTTTTTTATTCACATTTATTTAGAATATAAATTTATAGAATGTTTAGAATTATTATAAAGTTATCATATATATTGATCATATTAAACATTAATAAGCAACTTAACAGTAATACTCATTAGTGAGTGATTGACATGGTAGCTGTTACATCCGAGTTAATGTTGAAAAAGAGTTGATTTATAAAGTTATACTCTCTTTTATTTATTTCATAATTTATTACAATAGTATGTCTTAGTAGCTGAAGTGGTTAGTGGTTAGGAATTAAGAGGCAGGGGTTTAAATCCTGCAGCTTGCTCATTTAATTTTTTTTTTGTTTAATTTTTTTCAATTTTCTAAAATACAAAATAAAACATTAAAAAAATATTTAAAAAAGATATTGTTTACTATAACAAACAGGAGAGAATTTAAAGAATAGCTTTAAATTTCTATAAATATAAACAGCAGTAGAAATTTTTTGTGCTTCTGTCACGATAGATATACTTATGTTATTAATGCACTTGGGTAATTAGTTAAGTCTGCAAGTTTAACACACATAAAGGAGACCACTTTCTTTCTTATAGGAAAAAGGATTTTTCAATCAAATCTTTTATTTCCTTCAAAATGGTTTAACGGTGTGAGGGTCTTAATAAGCTGCTGATGATCTAAAAAAATTTAATAAAAACTTAATAGAGAAAAAAATTAATAAGCCCATCCACGTTTTTTAATAGAAGTTTAAAATTTTAAAATAAAAAGTTATAAACTATTGAACATTAATCGTTAACTCAAAACTTAAAATTTAAAGATTTTTTGTTTTGTTTTACTTACTAATTATTAAAATGATTGCATAAAGAATATGTATTAAAATGGTCAGTGTAGAAAAGGCTGACCATAACCTGTATTATATGGTCATGGTAAATCCATTATTCAACATATTTTTAACTTTATAAATAGCATATTATATAAATAAATAGCAGTTCGCGCAAATGCTACCCAAGTGTTTCAAAATGGCTACCCAAGTATTTTAAAGTTACTCAAAAATTTTAAAGTTAATTGTATTTTTTTAGTTAACAATTTTTTTTTAAAGTTATTAAATTTTTTTTTCATTACTCAAAGGTAAGCAATAAGTTTTTCTATATATATATAATTAATTCTATTTCGCTTACTTTAAAATATTGAAGTAAGGAATTAGTATAGAAATGGTCAGTGTGGAGTAGACTTGCCAAGACCCCTATTTAACGGGTCTGGACAGCTTGTAGTTTAATAATATAAATTTTAACACTAATTTTAAACACCATGGAAATTAGTTTTTAGGTTCAGTATAAGTAAAAATATTTTTTATCACAGAGAACATCAGAAAGATATGTTTTATCATCTTTATTTTAAAAATTTTATTCTGAAGGTGCCACTGTTAGTGAAAAAGGAACTCTAACTGGAGTTCATAGAATAATAATGCTTTATATATTACCCCCTAAATATTAGTGTGGTGGTATTAGGTTTTCATAGAGTTACCTTATAATAAAATACTTATATGGTATTAGGTCTTCATAGAGTTACTTAATAATAAAAATTAAAAAAAAAGACAAGAAAATTGTGCTTAGTATCTTCTTATTGATCTTTAGATAGTTCTATGCTTTGATCTCACTAAATTTTCATGTTCTTGTTTAACATTAGATTCTCCTCATCATCAGACTTTTGATGTGGCATATCAAATAAAAGTGGTAACCAGTGGTAACTAAATTAAATAAAAAACCACCTTTACACCTTAACTCTTACTTGCTCATTCTTGATTTAACAATGCGTAAACTTTGTTTTATTCATGTTTTTCCTTTTTGATTTCATTTCATGAAGAGTGATATCAAGCATAAATTATCTGCATAGCAGATAATTTATGCTTGATATCACTCTTCATCCTTTGTTTTAATTCTGATGTGACATTTTCACAGAGCGTTGATATTTATGAGCCATTCTTCAACACTTACATTTCTTAAAGCCCACTATGCTGTATTTCATACGCTGTCAAAAGCTTTCTCAAAAAAGTAAATGAAGTTGTAAAAAGTAAATCTATATAAAAAAAAATCTCTAATTTTGGAATACTTCATTACATGACTCAAAAACTGGAGATTTGGCATTTTTGATCAAAATTTTTGGAGATTCGGTTCTAAAACATATAAACCATATATGTAACCATACATTTTTATGCCACATGTATTTACCAATAACCTGGTTTTTTAATTAATTGTGAATAAAAAAACTGTTTTGATCATTTTTTAGGCATTAAGCGCAGCAAATGAAAAATTTTTTAAAATTTGTAACTCAGAATTTTTCTTGTCGAAAAAAAAATGTTCATCTCATAACACATTTCATTTTCTTATGTTAATTTATGTTAATTATGTTATGTTAATTTTCTAACATGATGACATAGCACGAAAAAAAAGTAGTAGGAAAAAAAGACTTCTTAGTTAATAATCTCATATGTTTAAAATGTGATCAGTAAAAAGTTTTCTATTTTTCTCACTTTAAACAAAAGTTCAACACTGAGATCTATATTCTAGTAAGACTTTGTTCAATGTTCATTCTTGTTTTAAAATGTAATTGAAATTGTTATCAACATTTTTATGACAAAATTAAAGCCATTGTCAATGTGTTAATGTTTTATGGTTTAATAATTATTTTTTTTAGGGAAAAAAGAACCTTACTTTAAAAAATTCTTTGGAATTAGGACTAAAAGATGCTAAATATGTTGGACAGATGTCATTTATCGATTATGGTATAAAAATATACTATGATATTTATTTTACTTTAAAAAAGAAAGTTTCTACTAAAAATATAAATGTGATTTAACTTATAAACTGTTATATGTTTATTGTGTTATAGATGGCGATAGTATTATTGATTTAGTGCTTCCGGTCTGCTTAACTGAAGATTGCTCTCACTCAGTTTTGTATGCTAGAACTACAATCAACTTTGAAGACCCACAAAAAAATGTATACTAAAAATAAATGATTCATAAAAAATATTAAATAACACGTGATTCATAATTTTTGGCAGATATTTTGTCTAAATCTTTAAGTAATTGCAAATAAATTTTTTAAATTTTATTTTTTACATTAAAAAATTGTTTAAAAAATTAAGTTTTTATTTTAATAATGTGAAATAGAACGTTCTGAAAGAGAAGCTACCAATAAAAGAATTGTAAGTTACTCTTTGAATGCTGTAAATCGTAGTAAAAATATGGTTGTTAAATACATTAAACACGAAAAAATACCTAAAGGAACAATTGATTCAATAATTTAAAAATTGAACAATTTGATTGATTCAATAATTTAAAAATTGAAAATGAATTGAAGATTTATCACAGCCTCAAAAAAGTTAGCAACAAAATGTTTTGTTGTAAAAACAATAGTTATCAATGATAAAAAAAATTTTACCTTATGCAACAGTGAAATAGCTGGTATGCCGATTATAAAAGTTCAGCTCCTGAAAATATTTAATGCAAAAAAAAAAAAAAAATTGAAATATGAAGGTATTAGTCTGGATTGCGATTTCCAAAAATGGTATTCAGAACCATTTATAAAAGGATCACCTATTTTAGTCGGTGCTAAGTGCTATTTTAATAAATGCTTGAGACCTAAATTAATTCCATTTATTAGATCAATGTATAACAAACACATATATATTTTTTGGCTAGCTAGTGCACTTTATTTAGCTAGTGTTCATTACACAAATGAGGTCATTGAATTCACCAAAGCTAAAATTCGTTCCTAAGTATTAGAATCCTTCTAATGTTCCTCGAGCCCTTTCAATTAAAAACTTTTGAACTAGTTTGTGTTTGAAATTATATGAGAGAAGATGGTCTGCCAAAACAAAGCATCCATTGATCAGACATTTAAAGTTTTGAGAATTTGATTTAAATGAGTTACAAAGTTATATGGAGAAGGTAAAATATAAACTTAGTAAAATAGCCCTTATAGCATTATACTTTTAAATTACAATAACTAAAATTTATTTAATTTAATAATTAATATTTACTATTATAAAGTGAAGTAGCTTAAATTTAAAGTTTTGCAAAGAATTATGAATCACCCAATATTTCCAAAATGTACATGAGTGTTGTTTGTTGATGAAATATAACAAAACTTGAATTTTGACTGAAAAAAATTTTTTTAATGTTTTAATATGCATAATATGCATAATATTTTTTAACAAACATATAAAAATTTCTATTGGTACATATATATAATTTTTAAAGACAGTAGAAAACTATGGAAACACAAATGCACACTTTTTTTTTGTCAGTTTTCCAGTTTATATTCTTTAAAATTTTATTCTTATTGTCATTCCAGTGCTCATGTTTTTTTTTTTTTTTTTTGTTTTTTTTTTGTTTTTCTACTGTCCCAAATAAATTTTTTTATTTTACATTTTTATTTTGATAGTGGTCAGTTGTTATTGACAATACTTATGGTGATTGGCAGTTTCCTTTACATAAAATGAATGGCTCAGACAATATTCCGTTGACACTTGTTATAGGTATAATGATAAATAGAGTATATATTGAGATCAATTGATAATAAAATTGATTTTAAAAGATTAATTTATAATAACATTTTTAAAAATATTTAAAAAGTTATAGATATAAGTTAATTAAAAATTTATTTATTATAATTAAATTAAATTTTTTTTTAATCTTTGAAATTAGTTTTTTTTTTCATAAAATTTACAATTTTATGAAAAAAAAAACTTTTAAATTTTTTATTATAAATTTTTTGTTATTATTAAAAAAATATTGTTTAATGTCAATGTTTTCACACTGAAGTGGTTTTGGTGGGTTTTCATAAAACCGTTTTCTTATTTAATTTTGACATAAGAGAAAACAGGAATCATATTTTTACAATCAAATGCCTTTCCTGGCACTAAGTTCTTTTGAAGATTATATTGTGATCTAAGAAGATTGTGATCTAAGAAGATTGTGATCTAAGTAGATTACTAAGGTTATTATCTCAATCACAATTAAATTGGGCATTTTATATCAGATATTTCTATCTCCTAGAATTTGCCTTCATCATGGCTAAGGAGCTTTTGTAAAATCAAGTTTTAAATATTTCATTGTTATTGTTATTCATTGTTCATAATATCAAGTTTCTACATTATATTTTAGATGTCTATTTTAGTTATTTTTTTTGTAAAGTTATCACTGGCTATATCTGATAGTGCATTTTGTGTTTTCTCTGTGAAGCAACCCAGAGTAATCACTTATTTTTTATTAATACTCCACTGTTCCTAGTATAGTTTAGTTTAGTTTTTTTATAGTATAATTTTTTTAGTATAGTTTTTCCATATTTTTTATATTAAAATCGCTTTAAAGCTTTTTACTCCTACTTTCACAAAATAAAATTAAGGTGGTTGTGCAAGAAGTGGACTAAAAATATACGACCTAGATGTTTAAACTTATGTATCATAATTGAGTTTTGAGTATCGATTAAACTACAATAAGATTGTAGTTTTGCGCTTTTATGTTATGTTATAAAAACTTTAATATTCTATACATTATAAATAGTGGTTTTCATTGCAAATCACTAAATTTTTTTTAACAAAATGAAACAATAGATATTTTGTTACCAAGCAAAACAAAATTTCAGTATAATATGCAATTAAGTACAAAAAATTTTTTTTTTTTCTTCCTCAATTGTAATAGTTAGATTTATATTTTATCAATTTTGGCAACTGGAATGTTTTATTCAATTTTTTTTTGTTCAATTTTTTGGTAACTGGAATGTATTTTCTCCCTGTATGTGCTTTTTTAGATCATGACCTTTGTTAAACTTTTGTAACAACATATCTATTATTTCATTTTGTTAATAAAAATTTAGTTATTTGCAGTGAAAACCACTTTTTACAAATATCTTTGTAAAAAAGATTTCTAACTGATTTTTTATCTTAGGTGTTGGCACCAGCTTCATACAGATATCTTATTTGGGTAACCATGAAAGATGGTATCTAAACAAATAAAAGAAAATAAAAGAAAACAAAATCACAACTTTTTTAAATGATATTTAAGCTTCCTTTTGATGTTCAAGCCTCCTTTTTTTAAATCATTATTGATTTGCAACTTGAATCAAATGTCATTTTATGAATATCAGATTCTGCAAAAAATTAACTTTTGATAAATTTTATAAATAAGTATTTAAAATAATCACCATCTTTATACTATTTGGAGAACATCGAACTCATCATTACATGATTGGCCGATATCTAAATAGCTAAATTGGTTATTAGACCTATCTATGTACTGAGGTGGACTATGTACTAGCAAATGGAAGTCCTTGTCTATGTTATGTACACACACACATAGACAAGGACTTCCATTTGTTAATAACATTTGAATAAATAAAATATGTTTTATATGTTTTAAATGTTAAAATAGGAGATATTGGTTAATTTACTAATACGACTTTTTATTACTATTTTTTGAATTGCACCAAAAAATACAGGAATAAATTGTTTTATAGGTGATTATTGGATGTTATTATTTTACAGGTGATTATTTATTGGATGGAATGATAGATATAGTTACAATTCTTCAGTTCAAAGAAAAGTAATTACTTATTTATTTTTGTTCTTTTTTTAATTATTTTTTTAGTTGTTATTTAAAATATCCACAATTTTTTTCACTCAGTAAAAAGTTATTTGCTGCAAATCTAATAAATATACCGTGCTCAGATGCAAAATCAACAGGTTGCGAAGGTCAAAGAACATTCTCAGTTCAAAATACCATGGTATGTTTTTTATTGTGAGTTTCAGTTTTTATAAATTTTTCATTTATTTTGGAGGTAGTATGATCCTTCATTGTAAATTTCTTGTTTTTGGAAAAAATTTTAGAATTCAATCAGCGATCCTATCTCAATAAGTTTAATGGATGTATATGAGAACGGAATTCTTGATTTTTTGGTTACATGTCGTACTGGTGTTGATTATGTGACAAAAATTTTAAGAAATGAATTTGTTGTAGATGCTGCTTTTCTGAAAGTTGCTGGTAGGTTGTATTAATGTCATAGTTAAAAGAAAAACATAATTTTTATTTTTATACATGTCATACAACTCAATGCATGTATGTTAAATTATTTTTTTTGGACAATTTACCCTTAGGCTTAAATACTGGCAGCTGGATGACCTTAGGTTCTGATATTTTCGAAAATATGTCTTATATACATACATACACACATACATAAATATATATACATACATACATAAATATATATATATATATACATATATATATATATATATATATATATATATATATATATATATATATATATATATATATATATATATATATATATATATATATATATGTATGTATATATATATATATATATATGTATGTATATATATATATATATATATATATATATATATATATATATATATATATATATATATATATATATATATATATATATATATATATATATATATATATATATGTATGTATATATATATAAGTGTATATATATATATATATATATATATAAGTGTATAATTTTTACTAATTTATTGCTCAATGTTCTTAAAAAACAGAGCAATAAATTAGTAAAAATACTTATCTAATTTTTATTTTCTTCTACAGCTTGTTTCTTTGTCAGTAGGATCATCAGGAAGAATGTCTAAACATCAAAAAATTCAAACTCTTCTAAACATGTGTATGAAGATGCTCTTAAAAAAAGCGGATTTAAAAATTTTTAGCTAAAAATTGATACAAAAATTGAAAAAAAGCGAAATAGAAATATAATTTGGTTCAACCCTTTGTACAGCAAAAATGTTTCTACAAATATTGGAAAAGCGTTTTTAAAAATAATTGACAAACATTTCCCTCCCTCTAATAAATTGCACAAAATTTTTAACAGAAACACTATTAAGGTAAGATATAGCTGTACAAAAAATATTACAAGAATTATAAAAGGACATAATTTTATATTGATTAAAAAAAATGAATTTCTCAAAGGAAAAAATTCTGAAAATTATAAATGTAAGCAAAAAATTGACTTCCCTATGAATGGCGAATGCTTATCAAAAAATATTATTTACAAATGCATTGTTTCCTCGCAAAACAACCCTGACAATTATTGGCTTAACTGAGAGTAAGTGGAAAAAACGTTATGCCAACCACAAACAATCTTTTAAACATAAAAAGTACTCAAAAGAGACTATGCTGTCAAAATATATTTGGCAACTAAAAGAAAAAAATATTAGTTTTAAATTAAACTGGTCTATTCTATAAACTGTGCCTGCCTATAATAATATTTCCAAAAAATGTAAAGTACCTTTACTAGAACTATGTTTACAAGAAAAGTTTGAAATTATTACCCATTTAGATCAAAAAAATTTACTGAATAAAAAATCTGAATTAATTTCTAAATGCAGATATGAAAATAAGTTCCTTTTACAAAATTATAAAAAAAAATGACCTGTCATTAACTACATTAGATAATTAAAAAATTGCATTAACTACATTAGATAATTAAATGATTGCATTAACTACATTAGATAAATAAAAAATTGTAAAAAGAATTCTTTAGAATTCTTTTTACAATTTTCTCCTAGTTACTACAGTTATTACATAATTAATTGCAACTCCCTGTTAAGTAATTTTTCTATAATTGGAATTTTTTGATGTTTAGACTTCCTGATGAACCTACTGATAGAGAAATAAGCTGTAGAAAAAAATAAAAATTAGATAAGTGTTTTTACTAATTTAATTTATATATATATATATATATATATATATATATATATATATATATATATATATATATATATATATATATATATATATATATATATATATATATATATATATATATATATATATATATATATATATATATATATATATATATATATTTATATATATATATATATATATATATATATATATATATATATATATGTATATATATTATATATATATATATATATATATATATATAATATATATATATATATATATATATATATATATATAATATATATATATATATATATATATATATATATATATATATATATATATATATATATATATATATATATATATGTATATATATATATATATATATATATATATATATATATATATATATATATATATATATATATATATATATATATATATTATGCTACATATTTTTTTCAATATTTATCTAGTCAGTGAACCAATAGTACGAAAAAAAAAAGTACTTACTCAATTTGAATCTTTTTCTAACACATTCAAATTATAACATGAAAATGTATATGTGAAGTAAAATTTGATTTTCACTTTTTGTTCTGCCTCAGTACTGATGAAAAAGGATTTGCAAGTCTGGCCTAGAAGTCCAGGTTCCAAAATTTTTAATAGTTAAAAACTAAATGAAAAATAACAGAAAGCTTATTTTAACTTCAAAATAAAAAAAAATTGTTTAACAAAAGGTGTGGTATTTAGATGTGTTGTTTCTTCTATGAATGCACCTAAAATTCACTTTTTTTAAAGGATATCTTTGTAAATATGTTTAGAGGAATCGAATATATCTTTATCCAAGTTTTCCTAAAGTCTTTTGTTAATTGAAATTGTTTTAGAATTCGGTGTGGTTTATGTAAATGTTTATTATGTTTATTAAGTTTATTAAGTTAATGTTTATATAAGTTAATTATTAATACTAATAATTCTATAATGTACTTCCCGCCCTCTAATAAAATAAATGAAATTTTTAATCAAAATAAAATTAAAGTTAGAAACAGTTGTTAGCAATATTTGCACAAAATATGTGGAAAGAATTATAAAAAGTCACACTAATGTTTTGCTAAACATAAAAGAAATTCTAAATGAAAAAACAGCAGAAATTGTAATTTCAAATAAAAAAACAATAGCCCAATAAGTGGAAAATGTTTATCAAAAAATGTGATATTTGTGTTGTTTCTTTAAAGAATACCTTATAAACAATTTCTTAACAAAGGGTGAATGATAAAAACATTTTGCCAATTATAAGCAATCCTTTAAGAATAAAAAGTATTCAAAAGACATTATGCTGTCAAAATATATATGGGAATTGAAAGATTAAAAAAATTAATAATTTTATAATGAATCTGTCCATCCATAAAAACTGCACGTGTGTATAATAATATTTCTAAAAAACGCATATTCAAAAAAATTTAAAATAACACGAACCAAGAATTTTCATTAAATGAAAAGTCGGAATCGATTTCTAAAGGTAAATATGAAAATAAAACTTACTTTCGTGCTTTTAACAAAACTATAAAAATAAATGAGCTGAAAAATTAATAATGATAAATCTTTTTTTTTTAATTACATTTTTCAAAAAAGCATAAGTAAAAAGTTCTAAAGAATTTATTTTATAATAGTGTCAACATATTTTAAAAATGTGTGAAATATTGTAGTAGTTGAGACATTATGACTTCCTTTAATTTAATTTTTGATAAAAATTGAAGTATAATAATTTGATCATTCATTTCTGATGAGTCATCATTATGATGAATCAATGTAAAAATGAAAAAAATTTGATAGTTGATTCTCTTTTAATTTATATATATATATATATATATATATATATATATATATATATATATATATATATATATATATATATATATATATATATATATATATATATATATATATATATATATCGTGTATTGTATTGAAATATTTTGAAATGTTGTACCTCCCAACCTCTTAACCAACCAAAAAAAGAAGTTTAAAATTTCAACTCTATATGTATATATATATATATATATATATATATATATATATATATATATATATATATATATATATATATATATATATATATATATATATATATATATATATATATATATATATATATATATATATATATATATATATATATATATATGTATATATATATATATATATATATATATCGTGTGTTGTGTTGAAATATTTTGAAATGTTGTACCTCCCAACCTCTTAACCAACCAAAAAAAGAAGTTTAAAATTTCAACTCTATCAGACAACAGCTCAGCAATTCTTATTTTTCTTTAAGTTGGAACAGAATATGCAAAGTAGTACCACTCATAAATAGTATACTCTGGTCTGGTATATTGACCTTGTTCTTATTTACTTCACAAAAAAGATTTTTATTCCTTTTCCTTTTTTAAGAAAAGTCTCTTGACTTGATTATTTTCTTCCTTTGCTTCTTTATCTTTGTCTAGCCAAACTTGATCTATATTTGTCTTAACCAATGGTTGTATCAAACGGATGGTGGAACAATAGCCGATGGTTTTATCCAACCAATTTTGGAGTCTTATTTAACTAAATAAGATGAGAGCAATAGTTTCTGGAACTGAGTACTAATGGTTGTTGGAAAGAATTTATAGTGGTAGTCCTAAAGACAATGTCGATGTGGTGTACTCTAGAAAAATTGGAAGCTATGCTGACTGCGAAATGTTGAGATACATGTTCCATGTTTTATAGTGGAATATGTCACATAGTTTTTTTAATTTTTTTAACATCACAAATGTTTCAATTTTTTTAATATTGCAAATGGTTTTTTCAATTTTTTGTTTGTTTGGGAACCTCTGTTTTTTAATTTTATAATAATTTTTTTTTAAATGTGCATATGCATTTATAATTCCATATAAAATTTTTTTTTTCATTTATTTTGTCATAAAGACTAGGATTCCCAAATCAATATTTATAAATGAAAAAACTTCCCTACCTTCCCTCTTGCCCCCTAAACACACATTCAAAACTATTGTTTAAAAGAAATAATTAATTGTCATTTGACAATAATTTAGACTTGATATGAATAATTAAGCCTGTAATAGTTATTATGAGGCCCTCTCTTCTTAAGTCAAGACTCAAAACTTTATTGTAGTTGTTATTGGACCTGCTGTAGCCGTCATTACTTGTTTTATCAACTCAATTTTACATGGCTTATCAATCAGCAAAGTTGTATCTTCTATTTCTTAAAAAATTTATGATCTAAATAAATCTTTTAAGAAATACATTGTATATATACATAAATATATATATTGTTTTATTTTTGACAATGACTTTGTTTTTTATTTATATATTTATACTTAATGATCATTTGCACTAAATGACTATATGCTATATTTTATTTTAGACTTTAAATGATTTAATAATAGTTTGTAATATATGATAATATATATTAATATATGATATATGTTTTTAAATTAGTTGTTGGTGGTATTTGCTACACTGATTGCAAGTGCAACAAAGGATCAACAGTATGTTTTGAATTTTAAATTTAAATAGTAACAGATTTTTTAATATTAGACTACTCTAAATTCATTGTTATTTTACATTTGTAATAAAGATTTGTTATCATGCTGTTTTACACTATGGTTATATTTAGAATCATGGAGCACATCAAGTTGGAGCTATGACTAATATAAAAACTACAAATACTGATGGTCACCTAATGGTTATTAAAGGTAAAATCTTCAATGAAATAAATTAAAAGAAATTTAAGAGAGATTCAAATATTTTAAATCATTCAACTTTTTGTGCAGCTGTTCAAATGGCCCAATCTGGATACTTTTCTCTCCAGCTTCCATATATTATCTTTGGACTAGGAAAGTCTCCTAACTTTGTAGACGAAATTAAAATAGGAATTCCAAAAGGAGATAACCAATATGTAAGTTTAAATTTTTTAAGTTTAACAAAATCCTTTTTTTTTTGGTGAAACTTATATAAGTTCAAATAATAACTTTATATATTATATAATTTCCAAATATATTTCTTATCAAAAATCATATCAAAAATTTTATTTCGTCTTGCACAGTCAAACCACACTAAGATTTTTTTTAGACAGTGGTACCAAAAGTGCTTAGACAAGGCTCAATTTAATTTTTTATAAAGTCCCAAACAAAATGTTCGTTCAAAACTTTTAGGTCGAACAGTGTCCGATCAAATTTTTTTAATAATATTGATTACAAGGTTTTCGGGGATGGCGGATGTGTAACGGATAATAAAAAAAAAAGAAAGGAAAAAAAAAGAAAAGAAAAAAGAAAAAAAGAAAAAAGCAGTAAACTATTTAAATAAAAAAAGAGAATTTATAAATTTAATTGAAGATTAAGGTATTTGATATTAATGCCAATAATATAAATTTAAAAAAGTGATAAGAATTTGAGCGGCGAAATACCTACTATAAAGAAACAAAAAGTATTAAAGAAATTCGAGTTTTAAAAAGAACTTTTTTTGTTATTAACTTTTAAAATCATTTGAAAGAATAAATCACGTCTGAAAGAAAGTCTGAAAGAAAAAGTTAAAGTTTGAAAGATAGAAGTTTAAAGTTAGAAAGAAGTTTAAAAAGCATTATTTTTTGCGCTAATATTTGAAATTGTCTTGTATTTACTTTAACTTTTTTTTCTTTTTTTTTCTTTTTTAGCTTATTCGTTTCCTTTTCTTTTTTTTTACTTATATACTTTTTACTTATACATATTATAAATTATTTTATTATTAGTTTTATTATTGTACTTTTTATTATTAAGCGTTGATTATAATTACAGAATTCATATTTTTATTTTTATTACATATTGCTACTGCTGCTATTTGTATTACTGTCACTATTGTTATTAGTGTCGTGATTATTATTATTCTTGTATTCATTATTTTATTATTAGTATTCGTATTTCCAATATTATTATCTTAATTATCGTCATTTTTTTATTTTAGTATATTCTCTACTGCTATTTTATTGTTGTTTAAGTTACTAATAATCTTATTTATATCTAAAGCTTACTTTATAAACTAATTTCTACTATAATGTCTCAACTTTGTAAAATTTGTAATAAACGTATTTGGACTAATCATCTTTCGTTTCAATGTAAACACTATTTAAATTCATTCCATAATAAATGTTCTCTGGATAAAATTGATTTTAGATCATCAATAGACTCTTCCATCAATTTTTGGCTTTGTATAACATGCCATATTAGTATCTTTTCTTTTTGTTCTATATCGGCTAATGAGCTTCGCCTTCAATCGTCAATTGATAGTATACTACATCTCAATGAACTCCCAAATGACCTTTCACTCTTTCCTACCTCTCTAGAATCTAATATTTTCAATCAACTTAATAGCTTTTTCTCTTATCAACTAAATAATAACGACGATGATGATATGAACGTAGTTGACAATCCAATTAATTGTAAATATATAGATATTAAAAGTTTTAATTCTTCAAAAATCACAAATAATTGTTTTTCTCTTCTTCATTTGAACATTGCTTCATTAGTTAAACATTTTGATGAATTAAATTCACTTCTTCATCTAATTAGTTATGAATTCAGCGTTATTGGAATAACGGGATCCAAGCTGAAATATGATTTACTACCGACAGTTCCTATAAATCTTAATGGATATGTTTATGAGCATACTCCAGCCGAAACATCATTTGGAGGAGCTTTAATTTATATTTCTGAAAAACTAATTTATAAACCTAGAAATGATTACTTATGTATAAACCCCAATTCCTAGAGTCAGTGTTTGTTGAAATCATCTTCCCTAAAAAATCTAATATCATAGTAGGATGTATCTATCGCCATCCTAATATGGATATTGATGAATATAATTTTTCATATCTAGCTGTTTTATTTGAAAAACTTTCCCTTAAGAAGAATAAAACCATCTTTTTAATGGGTGACTTTAATATAGATCTTATTAAAGCAAACTCAGATAGTTCAATTGCAGAGTATTTAAGCACCATTGCCTCTAACAACTTTCTTCCTTTTATATCTTTACCAACTTTAATAGATAATATATTTTCTAACTCTAAGATATTTTCTCCGGCAATCTAACTATCAGAATATCAGATCATTTGCCACAGTTTCTAATTTATCCATCTTTTAAAAGCAAAAAAAATTATTTTTGCAAAAGCAATATTTTCCTTCGAAATTTCAAGGAACTTGATAGTAATCAATTCAAAAACAATTTCTTACAGATAAACTGGGATAAAGAAATTAATTTTTTTAATGGTAATACAAACAAATTATATGAAGACTTTTTCCGTAGCTTTAACTCTATTTTAGACAAACACGCACCACTAAAAAAACAAAGTAATCGTGGCTTAACTCAGAGCCTTAAAACATGGATTACTCCAGCAATCTTGACCTCAATAAAAAAACGTAATATGATATTTAAATATTTCTCAAAACAAAAAATCTAATTATTAAACTAAATCTTGAAAAAACTTACAAAACCTATAGAAATTTACTTGTAACACTTATTCGACGCAGCAAAAAAAAACATTTTTCCAATTATTTTTCTTCTAACAGCAATAATTTGAGGGCTACGTGGAAGGGCATTAGAAAGCTTTGAATATTTGTTCGGAAGATATCTCATACCCATCTTGTATATCTTCAAATAACATCATTATACATGATCCAAACAAAATATCGGAAAAATTCAACTCTTTCTTTATTTTAATACCTGACGAATTGCAAAAAAACATTCACTCATCCTATACTAACTTCTATAACTATTTAAAAACACCAAACCCTGAATCTATATTCATTAAACCTACTGATGAAAATGAAATTTTATCTATTATTCTTTCTCTAAATGATGGCAAGGCTTCTGGTCCATACAGCATTTCAACCTTTATTCTTAAATTTCTTGCTTGGGATATTTCTCCATTACTTTCAAAACTATTTAACCTCTCATTCGTTACAGGTATATTTCCTAACATTTTCAAAACAGCATCTGTTAAACCAGTTCATAAAAAAGGCTCAAGACTTGACTGTAATAACTGCAGACCAATATCATTATTATCTAATATCAGCAAAATTCTTGAAAAATTAATGTATTCTCGTATCTACCACTTTCTTGATAATTCTAAGTGCTTATATGGCCGCCAGTTTGGTTTTCGTTTAAAACACTCTACTTCCCATGCTCTTATTAGCATTACTGAAATGATTCGTGGTGCAATCAATTGTGGTTCATTTGCTTGTGGCATCTTTATTGATTTCCAAAAAGCTTTTGACATGGTTGACCACAAGATTCTAATTAAAAAGTTATGTTGCTATGGCAAGCGGGGTATCTCTAATAATTGGTTTTTATCATATATTGAAAATCGTAGCCAGTTTGTCTCCATTAATGGGTTTGAATCCTCCAAAAAATTTATCAAATATGGAGTCCCCCAAGGTTCTGTTCTTGGGTCTTTGCTGTTTTTAATATATATAAACAACTTGTCTCACTCTATAAGCAATTCCATTGTTCACCATTTTGCTGATGATACCAATCTTCTATGCATAAATAAATCACTTACTCAGCTTTGTAAAAAAGTTAATTCAGATCTCCATCATTTGTGTTTTTGGTGAAATAGTAATTGTATCTTTCTAAATATCAACAAAACTGAATTCATTATTTTTCACCCTCCAAAAAAAATAATTAGTAATGATAATGTTAAAATTAAAATTAACTGGAAAAGAATCTTTCCTTCTGAATTTATAAAATATCTCGGAGTATTTCTTGACAAAAATCTTGGAATTATCAAATGATTCAATTAAATAAAAAACTCTCTCGAGCCAATAGTATGTTATCTTTAATATGACACTATGTTCCTAAACACACTCTAGTATCAATTTACTATTCCATGTTCTCATCCCATCTAAGCTATTGTTGCGTTGTTTGGGGGCAACAAGGAAGTTTTCTATTGAATCGTATAAACAGTTTGCAACGTGCTTCCATAAGAATTATGATATTTTCTCCTATTCAATCTAATATCAAAAGAGGTTTTCTGAATTAAAAATCTTACAATATCAAGATCTTATAAAGATTTACAACTGTCTTTTTGTGTTTGATTTCCTCCAAAATAATTTGCCGGGTTCGTTTAATAATTTTTTCATTAAAGCAAGTGATACACATAAATACTATACTGGTATTACTATAAATGGTAATTTGCACCCTTCTTTTTTCAATACTGTCAAGTATGGCAAGCTCTCCATAAAACATCAATGTATTTCTCTCTGGAACCAATTAATACCTTTTATAAAAAAAAAAGATTTTAACTAAATACCCTTTTGTTACTAATTTTCTTCTTCTTAACAGAAATCTAATTAAGAAATTTTTATGTGAGCAAATATCTAAAGAATATTGATGCTATTTTTTATTATTATTCCTTCAATATATTATTTAATTAATTACACTTATTTTTTTTTTGTTTTTATTATTATTCTTTACATTGCTACTACTATTTTTATTATTGTTATTACTATTATTATTTATATATCTTTGTTTTTGTTCCTTAATATTATTACCTATAATGATAGTCAAAGTAGTTTATCATTTATAATTCTTTTTACGTTGTTTTCTTTTTACATTTTTATATTGCCGTTATTATTTAACTTAGGCTACAATACTCAAAAAAATTTTAATTAAAACAAAAACTTAAAAAAGTTATTATTTAATGTAAATAATACAAATTTTTCAAACAATGATCCATCAAATTATGTTGAATTTAATGTTAAGCGTTGTTTTATAATAGAACATCAAGAGTTAAAAAAGGAAGTTGATAACTTAAAAAAAGAACTTAAGCACGAAATTAAAGATTTATTTGGAAAATTAACTTCAACCACATCAGTTATTACTATGAAACAAATTTGTGTATAAACATAATCCAAACAAATCGTGTTA